AATATAATTGGTATCAGCTACAATAAATACATTTTGAAGAAAATTTAACTTGTTAAAATGGTAGTTAAAAATATTTCCCAGTGAATTCTAAAATTTCCATATTAAAAACATATAACAGCAAATTTTTTACATAGTAAAATCTGAATATTAGAATAATCATTTCGAGATAGATCACAAAAGTTGTTAATAGCACAATCTAAACATGAATGAATAAAGGAACAAAAAGTGTATATTATCAATGCCTTCATAAGGCATAAAACTCTGCATTAGAGTTTATAATTCAGTGCGATAAGATTCAGCCTTTAGTGCTTACAGCACAATAAACTATAAAGAAGTTTTTGAGGATTCTGACACATTTAAAAAAAATGTGTAGAATGGAACTTATTTTACAACTAAAAGAATCAAATTTTACTGTTTAACAATATTTTTTATACAATTAAGTATTAATTCATGAAAAATAAAAGACTTCATCTAGAAAATAAGCTTGAATATGTTTAAATTAATGACTGTATCCCTCACAACAGAAAGGCTTAGTTAATAAATTAACAAATAAATAAGCTGAAATATTTTGTAAAAAATAAATAAACTTTCCCAAATAAGAAATTTACACTATCAAGAAGTAGATCATTTCATCAAATCTTACTTCAATTGTGAAAGATTATTTTTAAATTCACTTACTATTACTTCAACTATTCCTACAAAACGTTGACCCTACACTACATACATTTTCAACAATACATAATGCAATGATATGATGTTTATGTATAACATTCATGTTAATGGATAGATGTATTTTCTTTCAAATATATGAATGCATGTTTATGTGTATGTGTATATATATATGTGTGTGTGTATACAAAAAAAAAGTCTGAGGATCTTGAGATTCAGTTAAATTACAAAATAAACAATTTTAAATGCAATATTAAAGACATGATTACCAAAGAAAAACTGAAGAATCTTAATGTAAAAAAAAAAAATTGGATGTCCAAAATCCAAATTTAATAAACTGAGATTAACAAACACCCCGAACTAAAAAGAAACAATACTATTAAATCAACAACAATATGTACAATACAAGCAACCAAAAATACTCATTACCATCTGATCCAGGACAAACAAGAAGGTCTGGTAAAACCAAATAGCTTCCATTCCTATCTAAGATCTCACTATTGCTACTCATTCTCACTCAGTATTATCCAACAAATTGCAAGTTATAGTTGTGTATAACTTATACATTTTAATTGTTCAATTTAATGAATAATGATTTTCAACAATTGTAAGTGTAAGTAAGTCATAAGTTTCCTTTTACACATACACGGTGGGCCAGACCCCCTTACCGTGCACGCCTCCCCCCCCACATCCCTATAAATTGCATATCGTTGTGTTCCTTGTGACAATTTATAAAAAAAAAAAGCTAATGTTCCCACAAAAAAAAGTGAACGAACTGTCCCAAAATGGTGTCCAAACATGGCGGATTGACGACTTTGACTTTAGTTAGTTTTTTTGTTACTGAGAATCAGCATTTGGCTTAATTTCATCATAGTTGGTCTTTTATTAAAGCTGGATAGTAATAATAAAACATGAAAAAATATTAAAAACTAATTGGTTTAGGCATTAAAAAAAATCGGTACAGTCAATTTTTTTTACAAAACAATTTTCAAGTTGAAAATCAAGCGTCGTTTGTAATTAAATGGTCAACAATAATGCAAAACGTGCTGAAATAAAACATCTGGAGAATACATTTCTCTTTCTAAAACACTGATTACTTTTTAAAATATTCGAAGTAGTTCCGTAGAAAATGTACTTAAGCGGCAGAAAAGCGCTGCTGGCGTTGGTGACTTCAGACCTCTACCACACCACTCAGTACTCATAAATGGCTTAGTTATAGTGGTAAAATAACGTTTTTATTATATTATATTGATTGTATTAATGAATAAATATTAATACAATAATTTAATTTAATTTTTTTTTTAAATTTATCATTATTTTTTTATTTATTATTATTTATTTTTTTAAATTTAACTTCCTTTATACTATACGGAGGTCGCTTAAGAAGGCCTCTATTATAAAAATTATATAATTATAATAATAAAACTTAATTCAAAAATACTTTGCAGAATATCTTGAATTTTTTATTTAATATTTGCAATTTAACATTTTGTTTTATATATTTACTGATTCTTAGAGGTAATTTAAATTGTATATACTTCCCCGGAAATGAGTCATATTAATATCTGTTTTATAAAATAAAATAATATATACCTAATCTGAACTACTTTTAATGAATAGGTGATGGATTGTTTAGTAAAATTCATATATCGCTATTAAAAAAATCATTTTTATTTCCTTTGTTTTTTTCGGAAGTTGGACCATATCACAAAAAATACGAAATTTTAATATTAAATGCATTTTTCTCTCTGCACAAAAGAAATATGGAAAGGGCGAAGCTATAAGTTCTTCTAGGTAACTGGAACTGATTGTTAGTATTTGGTTTCAAAATGAGGGAAAACGCGAAATTGAACCCAAACATTGGAAGGGCCAAAATTTCGGAAAAGAAAACAAGGATCAGTATCCGTTATATGGCTAAACGAATATATAGTGGACAAATGAACAGAATTTTTCAAGATGCTGCTAAAAGGGGGTCAAAATGCTTGATCAGTTTGGATGATATTAAGCAGGTTTATTATGGTGAAGACCATTTCATCAGCAAGAAAGATTTGTTCTAAGAAATTGGCAAGTCAGCTGGTCTGGAAGAAGTAACTCAAAATGCTGTGCGTACAAAGGCTACAAATGTATTAGAAAATGATATGAAAGGACTGTTGTTTTGTCCCTTTACAGGAAATGAGATATTAGGAAATGCTATTTGAGATTCCTTACTGTTTATAGTGCCAAAGAAAGTCTACTCAAGAATCGTTGAAGCTAAAATAAGAAATATTGTCGATTGTCTGAGCGATATGGATTGAGAAACTCAAGTTGCACATTGGAATTAAGTTGCAAATTGGGACTGTCTTCACTTTAAGGTAGGTTATAGAGAAGTCCACAGAGAAAGAAAAATGGTTCTCTATCTGTTTAGTGCCTCACACTTTGGATTAATCTAATACCTACTAGTCTTTCACAAAAGCTCGTTTTCCTTTCAGATTCCTTCAAAAATTTTTTGCAATTGCACTAAACAGGAGGAGAGCTATTTTGCTTTGTCGATAGACCTCTCTATAACCTGCTTCAAAGTGAAGATAGTCCCAATGTGCAACTTCAATAGCAATCTAAAATAAAGTGGTTTTCACCATTATAAACCTCGTTTACTTCCTCCAGACCTGCTTGCTAATTGCTTAGAACAAATCCTTCTTGCTGATAAAGTGGTCTTCACCATAATAAACCTGCTTAATATCATCCAAACTCATCAAGCATTTTGACCCTCTTTTAGCAGTATCTTGAAATTTTCTGTTCATCTGTCTACTATATATTCCTTTAGCCATATAATAAATAAAAAATAAATAATAATAAATACAAAAATAATGATAAATTTAAAAAAACAATTTTTTTGACAATTAAATTATTGTATTAATATTCGTTCGTTAATACAATCAATGTAATATAACAAAAACGTTATTATAGCACTATAACTAAGCCATTTATGAATACTGAGTGGTGTGGTAGAGGCCTGAAGGCACCCACGCCAGTAGCGCTTTTCTGCCGCTTAAGTACGTTTTCTACGGAACTACTTCGAATATTTTAAAAAGTAATCAGTGTTTTAGAAAGAGAAATGTATTCTCCAGATGTTTTATTTCAGCACGTTTTGCATTATTGTTGAACATTTAATTACAAGCGACGCTTGATTTTCAACTTGAAAATTGTTTTGTAAAAAAAATTGACTGTACCGATTTTTTTTAATGCCTAAACCAATTAGATTTTAATATTTTTTCATGTTTTATTATTACTATCCAGCTTTAATAAAAGACCAACTATAATGAAATTAAGCCAAATGCTGATTCTCAGTAACAAAAAAACTAACTAAAGTCAAAGTCGTCAATCCGCCATGTTTGGATACCATTTTGGGGCAGTTCGTTCACTTTTTTTTTGTGGGAACATTGGCTTGTTTTTATAAATTGTCACAAGGACCACAACGATACGCAATTTATAGGGATGTGGGGGGGGGGGGGGTGCACGGTAAGGGGGTCTGGCCCACAGACTAATAATTTAGTAATAATATTTCAGTAGTTGTATGTATGTGTTCTTATTGTTGGTAAATTTAATGTTTAATAATTAAACGATAAACTTGATAAGTAAAATTTTCCTGTATCCAGAATAAGGCAGACGTCTTTCATAACTTGACAGCTTTAACAACTCTGTGGATTAATGTAAATGGAAGGAGAAAATATTAAAAAATATATCACTTTAAACCATTATTTTTTTAGCAATAATTCACTTCACATAAAATGTCTCTTATCACCTTTAATCACTTGAACTTGTAATCATTTTCTGAAAAAAAATTTATAAATCTGCTGTTTATTTATTTTTTTTCGTTTTTATACTTTTAATATAAGGCATGAATATGAAAACAAAAAAGTCTTGAAAACATTAAACACACCCCCAAAACATAGTTGTATACTTATTTACTGAATCAAAATATCCTCAGACAATATATTACTAAGTCGAGAAAATAGAATATACATATGTGTTTATATATATATATATATATATATATAATTTAATAACAATTATTTAGGACAAACCTTGTTAATAAAACTGGTATCTAGTAACCTTTGACATCTCATGAGATATATAAAGGTAATAAATTGAAGCTTTAACTCGATTTTCCAAATAAAAAATGCAACAACATTATTTACATTTAATGATATGCTTACCTCAAAATACCTGTATGGTGAGGTCTCCATTAAAGAGGCATAAATCAGACAATAAAATAAAAAAAAACCTATGAAAGTAATAATGGAACATTTATATCTTTTCAACAGTAATTATCTAAAATTTATTTGATCATTATGATTAATTACGTTATTGTTTTTCTAATAATAGATAAAATAAAATGATTTTTTTAAATATATAATATCGTCCCTTGAACTGGTCCCTATTATATATCAATAACCACAGCAAAATACATATTATAAAAATTCATAACAATAAATTATGCCAGTTTAATAAATGAACAAAAGTGTGAAACTGAACAGTACACAAATATTAATGCCAGAATAAAGAGAGGAGCTAGTTTAAAACTAAACAGTATGGGAGACAAATACTAATTATTAATTGAAAAAATAAGAAACAGAAAAGAAATATATATATTGTATCAATAAATTTATCCACATAGACTGCAATTAACAAAACAGTATAACATGAAAAATAGAATACCAGCTTTGCATTAAGTTATATAAAGATTTGTATTTCACAACAGCACATTATACAAACCATATAGATTATATATTTGTGTAAATATATAATGTGTATAGGTGTATATAGTTAGTTTAAGAAAGAATAATTTCACCAAAAATGCAATTTCAAACAAATAACACATGTACTTTAATTTAAAGTATAAGTGGCCAATTATGAATGGTTTCATTAAAGATACATTTGGAAAAACGTTAATTATTATTTTAAACAATAGTCAACTGTCTTTTGATTGAAAATGGTTTGGTGCATCAGCAAATGTACATTTAAGTCTATATGCTTCAGCGACCAGAAGATTTATGTTGGAATCATTCCAGTTTTGAGTTGGCAGATTTTGCAGGAACAACATCAGCCCCTAAAACAGACAATAAAACAAAATTATTAAGAACAGTTTCATCCATTCATTTTAAAACTTAAACAGTAGATAAAACGATATTACATGAAATTAAAATATACATATAATAACTGAAAATATCTAACTTGAATATTTAATAATGAACTACTATTAGCTCAAATAATAAACACATAACATATCAACACCAATTAAGTTCATATAATTAATTTCACTTATTCATAGGATCATGAACTATTGAGTCAACTGGAAATTTGTATTATACTATAACATGAAAAATAAATAACTTTTTAATTTTACAAGTAATACATGAATAAAAAATAAACCTGGAAGTCTTTTTCCACCATAAGATCCTGTCTCCAATGTAAAAGAAATGCAGCACATACAAACAACTGAAATGAAGAAAAAGTATCCAGTTCAGCAAGATAAGTATCCCACAGTCTTATTAGACATCTCAAAGGAAGCTCTCGTGTTAGCAAATTATTCATCCATCGAAATGAAAATTGTAAATATTCAACTCCATTCTTTTGAAGATGATTATGTAAACCTCCTGTATGAAGAAACACTGATTACTTAATCTAAATTATAATTTATTAAAAACATTAAGCTAGCATAAAATTCTAATTATACTACAACCCATAACAATTAACATAAATATAAATGAAATGTATTATAATACTATTATGTTATTTAGTTTATAGGCCTAATTAAACTTCTTACCCTCTGATATAACCTAAATGAACCTGTTACTCTTGGACAATCCATCAAAACACAGATTACTTTTTCTTTTAAAAAGAAAAATATATAACGACAAAAACAAAAAAAATTAAAGTCAACAGAAAATATTTTTGAAAAGATTTAATAAAACCAATTTCAAAATAAGGAAATATGACAGAATAACTAAAGGTGTTTAGGGTTGGGGAAGTCAATGTAATAATGATAAATCTCAAGTGACAGAATATAAACCAAATATGATTTTTTTTCCCATCCATAGAACTGGCAAAATTAAGCCTAGGATTAATATAGATGGTCATGTAGAATAATTTTACCAAAGTCTGTAGCTGATTATTTTCAAAAACTGTTTTTCAAAAAAAAAAAATTCTTGGAAGAGAGATGGTTGCCCTACTTTTAAACAAAAACTGTTTTATTGAAAATCTTTTGACAAGAGAAGTAAGGAATACATTTTATATAAATGTCCCCTATCTTTGCTTGTATCTTGACTCCTATTCTTGATCATTTGTTCTGAGGCTCGTGGAAGGATCTAGTATTAGTATTTCCTTTTCCGTCACACAAATGCTAGAATATCAATAAACCTTGTTGAACATTCTGTATTTAAGTAACACAATTTTTGTAAACATTTTTAATTTTTTTCTCCAGCTATGCCAACATTTGGTTCTTTATATTATTGTGCAGGATATTTCCTTTTATCAATGAATTTGTTTGGATTTTTATGTAATATCTGAGCTGAGGTTTCTGACTCTTGTCCACTTTTGTGATGGAGGGATTCAACGATGTTTGCCTGGCCTACGGTCCCGTGACCTTCAAGGAGGAGTGTAGTTCACATTTGATTTCAGAGTATTTGCCCATTCTGGGCCAGTGAAAACCTTCTTGTCAAACATGAATTTATTCGCTCATTGGTTTGTTTTAAAATGAGGCACACCTGTTTCTTACCACTTACATAGACCACAATTCTCAAATGGTTTTTCTACCACGGACTCTTTAACTTCCTCGAAAATTAGTGTATGATAAAATCTGTATGATTTGTATCAAAACCTAACAGATCCACAAACTTTCTAATGTCATCTCCAAAATAAAAAATCGTCTGAAATGGAGCATCTATCAAGTTGGCTAATTTTTAGTAAACAGACCAATGTTGAAGTGGAGCCTGTGCTGAAAATTCAAAAAATCCAGACCCCTTTATTATTGTGGCACATACATCAAAGCTGAGCAAGTGTTGGCCGGTAAACTTTTTTTAGACTCTTCTTCAAAGTATAGCAATAGATAAGCCACAATTTCACTAATGGTGAAGTCTAATGTATATATCAGAGAAGAAAAGACATCTATAAACCAAGTTTATCTTAAAGTCTGCCTTAAGGATACTCAAATTAACAAGTTTTTCAATATTATATTCAATAATATTATGGTTTACCTTACCAACTGATTCATCAGAGACCCGAAAACAAAGTATTTAATGATTTTACCTTCTTCAATAAATAATTTTTCCTCCCCTGTATTCAAAAAACTTTTTTATTGTTCCTTTTTGTAATATGATCGTGAAACTTTTGGGGCTTAGGGATAATCCCAAATTACAGTTTTTTCTGAATGGAGTTAATAGCTATCTCTGCAGCTTCAATATAGCGAGCAGTTACTGCTTGATCATCCACCTAACCTGTAAGTAGAACAGAGTCATGGATATGAGATAATTCATAAACCATATTCTTTCTTGACTTTTGGATCATACAGTTCGTTATAAAGGAAATCTATAATCAAATTTAAGATTTCTGGCAAAAATCACCCAGCCTGTGTAATTAAAACATGAACAGGGTTGGTTTTATTGATCTTGAGATTGACTCAAATTCAAATGATGTTATTATACAGCAAGCTTTCTATTGCTTTTCTTAGGTCAGTTGAAACATCCTTGGCTTCCAGAGGCTAAAATATACCTAAGAATGCAACTACTACATCTTTCTGTTTGTTCTTGGCATCTTTGAAAATGACACAGAGGTTATCCAGTCATGAAACCTCTCTGGTTTGGGTGAAATAGAATCTCATGGTCTTAAACTTTTTCCATCATATGCCTTATGTTGGGATAAATCATAATTTGTCTCCAAGAAAATATATCATCATTAGACACATGCTTTCCTTTATAAATTAAAACTAACCATTCACAACAAAGAATTTCTGGGATAGATAAAATTTTTAGAAGTGTACACTAATTTTTTAACTACAAGTGAAATTTCCAATTTCTTTATTGTTCTTATAAGAACCCCATCATGATCTCCAAAAATGTAATCTTATGACTTTGAGTACAACTTTTACATCTATTATTCCTAAATTAGGAATATTGGAAGAGGGTGCATATTTGTCTCTTACATTGTTGGTTTTTAATCAAAAAGAAAACTAAAATCAGTTTCATCTTTCTCAATTTGACAGATCATAACTTAGAGCTGTTCTTGTCTATCATATATTAGACCACTTATTTCTACAAATATAATACTAGTACTGGGTCAGATCATACTCATATTGCTCACGTCTCTGTTACAACCATCTAAAGTTCTGGGGGTGGCTAGACCTTTCTTCTCTCTAGCTCTTCATCTCAAGGTTATTCCTTCTATGCATCTGATAGAAGTTTATTGTTGGAACTTTAAATCTGGAAATATTTTTATTGCCTCTCTTAGTAAACTAAGAAAACTACACAAATTTTATCAGCTATCCAATTGAAAAGGAGCCTAAAGTTTAAATGTTTTATATCAAGGTCAATCTTGGTTCTTTGTTGGTTGTTTATCACTCTAACTTCTAATTTTCTTCTCTATGAATTTTAGTTTGATACTAATATCTTTTATAGGATATAGATCTTTGATAAATGGATTGATTGTAAGACCGTGTTCATTTTTAAAGGCTTCCAATCTTCAATGTCTTGTTTCAATTAAATATTTTATTTTTTTTAAAGCAAGTCTGAAACAGATTTCATATAGAACTAATAAACAAATCCTAAAGTTAACAAGATTTGCATAGTACCACTGTTTTATCTGGGTATAGATATTTAGAAAAAGAGATATTCAAGTATTCTATATTTTTACTTTTTACAAAACCCTAAACATGGAAAACATAATATTTGGAAGGTAAAGCTGTACACCAGGGGTGCTCAACCTTTTTTCAGCAGCGGGCACATTTATAGGTTGTTTTGAGTGGCGGGCATGATGTTTTTGTTCATTGTAAATTGCAGGTAGGATACTGTTTATAATTGTAGATTGATGGTTGACTGCAAAGAATAATTGAAGAGAAGAATGGTAGGGGTGATCAGTAAAAATAAATAAGTATATTTATTTTTATTTTTGCTGAAATTTCGGCCTTAAGTTTAGGCCTTCACCAGGAGTGGTAGAACGAAAGAATTCCACAAGACGAATCAACTCCTTTGAACTGCAGTCTTGTGGAATCATTTCATTTGACCAGCCCTGATGAAGGCCTGAACTTTAGGCCGAAATGCAGGCAAAAATAGAAATAAATATACTTATTTATTTTTACTTTTTTTTTTTTGACAGATCACTTCAACCATTCTTCTCTTTAGTTACTGCTTATAAATTTAAAAATACAATATAAATGGTATCAAAAATAAAAATAAACAATATATATATATATATATATACATACATACATATATATAAACGTACTGTAGCAGACAGATATCTTTATCATTTCTAAAACTAATGAAATATATTTCTACAGAAAAGGCGAAAACACCAAGTGCAATGATTGTATTAATTTTATTTAGTTTTCTTATATTAAATGAACTTATTTTCAACATAAAATTGAAAATGACATGGGCTATAACTAATTATAAAATGAGTTTTTATTTATTTATTTATTACCAGTTCGGCCTGGTGGGCCTTACATGGTTGTTGTAACAATTTGATGATTTTAAACAATTTGTTCTGGTGGGGTATAGTCTTTGCAAAAGACACCCCTAACTATTTATACATTATAATTATTGAATAATTACAATTAATAAAGAGAAAATTATTAATTGTTCATAACATGATGTCTTGGATCAGTCTGGGCTTCAGTCTTCGAGATGAGGTTGGGTTTCCTAAGTTGTAGGCCACTGCACCTTTAACTGCTGGTAGCTGCGTATGGAATTTTTTAAATCGTTTTTTGATGAATTCATCTATTGTTTCCAATTTTAGTTCTCGATGTAGTTGAGCGTTTCTTATGAACCAGGGGCCATTTACTGCAATTCTTAATACCTTGTTTTGAAAGGATTGTAGTTTTTTTCTTTTCGTAGCTGAAGCGGCTCCCCAGACTTCACATCCGTACATTAGCAAGGGTCTTAGTATGGTTTTATGAATAAGAACAGTTGTCTCTGGTTTTAAACTAGATTTTCTATTTACTATGGGATATAACATTGCTAACCTTGCGTATGTTTGGGTCAGTTTATTATTTATATGGTAATTCCACGTAAGGCGGCGGTCCAGATAAACTCCGAGGTATTTTACTGCTTCACTAGCTGGGTTCCATTTTAGTTCTTTATTTTTGAGAATCAGTTCAGGTGGGTCTGAGGGACGTCTAAGAGTAAAAATTTTTGCTGTACATTTTTCGGTGTTGAGACAAATCATCCATTTTTTTAAATATTGTTCTAGATTTACTAGGTAAGACTGCAGTGTATTTCTGGCTATTAATATATCATTGTGTTGGGAAAAGACAGCTGTATCGTCGGCAAACATAGCTATGGAGGTGTTTGTGGATTGGATAATGTCGTGAACATAAAAGTTAAAAAGTATGGGAGAAAGAACAGAACCTTGTGGGGTGCCGGCATGGATTTGTCTTAAGGTT